TTAAAAATATAGCAGCCAAGAAATATGATTTCTGTGGCCTCATATAACATTCCTTCATAGCCTCTTTTTAGAATTCTTAGTAAACTTCTAAATTATTCTGTTGTCTGGTTCTCTCTTGTGTAAAATTTCAACAAGTCCTTGCAGTTTGCTTTTTATAACAGTTCCATTCTCATTGTTCATGAAATATTGTGCAACTTAATTTTATTCTCAGAATTTCAAAGCTCATTTTGAAATACAGAGCATATCATTAAAAAATTTAAGTAGGCATACCTATAAATCATCCATCTTTCATATTGAAGAGGTTTATGTACGTTTTACTTTCCTTTTTATCTAAGTACTTTGCCTCCTGTTATTGATAAGATGGTATCAATACGTAATAACATTACATGTACATAATTCAAGGTAGCATAATAAATAGATTCTCAACTGCACTTATAATTAACAATTTAAAACCTAATATATGGGATAGAATGCTTGTAATCAATTTTAAGTTCTTGATTACAAAAGTATCTTGAGCCAATGAGGAAAGTTGATTAAACTGTTATACACTTTGCACATAATAAATGTACAAAGGTAATTTTTCACTAAGTCAATATGACCAAGTGAAATAATTAAAATTTAATCTTGTAATACTTTTTAAAAATAGCTTATGGTTGGAAGTCCATGAACAACTAATGAGGTAAAAATAAGTATCAAAACGAAATGAAAGCAAAATGTCACAGCTTCTTTTCCTTGAGTTACCAATATTTTGAAGAGGGGAACATAGAGACATAATCCAGTACCAGTGCAAATTAGACACAGACTTGTAAAGTGAGTTCAAAATAATGAAACCTACGAAGAAGCTCCTCTAAACTCTTTAAATTTTGTATCCAGAGGAGCAAGCAACCTTTGGACATTCAGCTACTAGCTGAAATGGAAAAAACCATTGGCTCCCCTCACAGTAACTCTTGTAAGAAAGTGGAATAAGGGAAGAAGTAACATTCTTACTGCTGATTCCTTCTTCCAACCCGACTCAATGCTTGGGAGAATCCCTGGCACAATGACTGGTGAAAAGTCTGCTTAATGTTATCTTCATTCACTGTTTGTCTTTAATTCCCTCTTCCTTGAGTATTTAATTGCCTATTTTACATTTTCATTATACAATCCAAGTTTAAATAAACAGGATCAATTTTCTGTCTCCGGAAGCAATAACAACGAATTACCTCAAGAGTTTTTTCTTAAAAGATCATTTAGGTCCTATATAATAAAGTCAGAAAACAAAAAAAGACTGCAATACTCTATCTATATAGTGTTCCCTAATAGCCCCAAAATGTTTTAAAAATACTGATCCATGCTACTATTTTATGAGAAAATGTTTGTTTAAAGAGTGTGGGACTGCAGGAAGAATCGGTATTTTTCAAGGGGGGCAGAGAGTCAGAGATCGGGTAAGGGAAAAGGTTTATATTTTTAGAGTAGTCTTTTTAATGGACTTATTCCTAAGCTTTTCCCGGAAAGGGGTTTAAGGCTATTAAAGTTATTTAAAAAACATTGACTCTGTTGGCAATTATTTCTCCAAAGGAGACACGGACAGCGCAGGAACTGCTTTGCTGATTTAGGGGTTTCTTTCCCTAACAAATAACTTTAAACTGGAAGTGGTTTCTGCAATAATCTCAGTTTGCTGGTTGTCCACAGAGTTGGTTGGTTTTTAAGCTTTTGAAACCTAGGTTATTTCTTAAAATCGACACTTCGCCCGCTTATTTCCGAATGGAACGAAACGAGCCCCTCGCGCGCGCAGGGGACTCCCCGGACGTAGCCGGCGGTGCCTGCACCACGCGCTGACGCTGCTCGCCTACCGCCAAGCCAGAGCGAGCGCTGGAGAGAAGTTACTAGGGCTTTCCCGGGAGATGTTCCAGCTCTGCCCTCCAAGAAAACCGACTGTCTCTCGGAGGATTAAACCCCAGGGCTCCGGTGAGACGGATCTGTGAGCAGGAAAAGCTGGGTTTGGGGCAGCGCCCTCGCCAGACAAATGGGGCTGGATCTGCGGCTTTGTAGCTCACAGCCAGGGTAATATTTCAAAAGCGAGCAATAAAAGTCTTAGACGAATCAAGGGCTTCTCTGGCTGGTTGGAAAAGAGATTTGAAGCTTTTTATTGTGCTCTAGTCACAATAGTTTACTGCAAACGGTATATTAGCAAGCGTGGTAAACTAGCAAGCGCGTTAGCCCTCTTCTACCTTCCTCTAGGGGTCAGGTCCCTTGGTTAATATGTAGATGTTAATGATTCCTGACTGCCTGTAATTCAGGGAAACGCCATAATTTGATTACAGGAAAAGGTCAGCCTGCCTTGCTTGCCTCTTGGCCTAGTTTTTAGAATCTCTTCCTCGGAGGGAGGGTCTCCACTCACACACTCAGGAGCACACGGGCCACAGGAGAGAAGCACCAGAGGCCCACCCGGTCCTTGCGGAGAAGGAGCGGGAAAGGGGACGCCCCCAATGCACCGGGTTTAACCACTCCCATCCCCTGCTGCCCGTCCGCAGCCCAGTAGACCGCAGGTCTGCACTGCTTACACTTAACGCCAGAATTTCCCCCATTTCCATCAGCCTCTGCCCCTCAAGTCATCATCAGGAAGAAGTTATAACGGTGAAATTAAACGTGATGATTTTTGCTCCTGTTAACACCTTTATATCGACAAGAATAACCCTTATCTGGTGGTACAGCTGTAAGGATCTGGGGGAGAAGACCGCTGAAAAGATCAGATTTATTAATACAACTGCTCTGTAGATATATGTTAAGGTCTGAAAACAGAATTAAAAGATGACACGTTGTGGCTTGCAATCCTTAAGCAGTTTAAGTTAGAAACCTCTAAATAGCCACGGTGACCCCTAAGATGCAATCACTTAACACATCCAATCACTGAGTGGTAGATACTCCAACCTTCCTTTCTTTCTTTCTTTCTTTTTTTTTTTTTTGTACATACAGACCCCCTACAAAAACTGCCACCCATTCTTCTCCTAGAGTTAAGAGTTCCGTCATTGGGACAGGTATATAATACGTATGCTTACCGCTTTCTACCACCTTCTATACAGATCATACAGTGAAAAGGTGGAACCACACAAGGTCAGAATAGCTTTAAAATTCTTGAAAATGATAACCTCTTGGCTTCTTGAAATTGAGTACACAGCACAGGTTCCCACTCTTGAAAATAGCTTAGGTTTGACCACTTGTCCTCACCATCCCCCACTAACAAACAGCCTGGAATTAGGACTTGCAGGCTTTGAAGGTTGTAAACAAGTCACAAAGGTAACACCCCGCCACCCCCCCACCCCCCCTCCGTCTTCCTACCTAGTCCTCCAACCACCCAATACCTCCCTGCACACACATACACAACACAGCCTCTGTGATGGCCTGAATTGTATAGGAGAGAGGGCAAGAATTGGGCTGGATCTACCACCATTTGCTCAGCCTCAGATCAATAAAATAAATGTAAAAGCAATCACACAGCACCCCAAATGGCTTTACTACTTAATTCTACTTCTCTCTCTATTTTATGAACTGGGCCAGACTTCTCTTTGTGTTCACTGAGATGTGAGGTCACCAAACTTAATGTGGTAAGGATTCTAGTAGAATTTAAGCTGCTTTTGGGGGGTGGGGAGAGGTAGTAGGGGGAAAGACATGGTTTTCTTCTCTGTTAAAGCAAGATATGGTCTGACCAAACAGCTTCTGGTGAAAACATAAAAATCAATTAAACTGGGCTCCTGCAGATCAATGGACCCAAATGCCCAAAGATGGAAAATGGCTAATTGAAAAGTTATTGATTGTTTTAATCAATGTCTTTCCCTTGATTACCTAGCACTTTTATAGGTTATGGATGAACTGTGGACTTTTCAAACATGGAAAAAGAGACATGTTGAACAGGCTCAGGGATTCTCACAGCACGATGGGTAAAACATACCTGAGTCTTATAATCCAATCATCTGACAAAATTTTCAAAATTGGCTTTGGAAGCTAAATGATTTATTTTGATAGAAAGCTGGGCTGTTGAAAGATAGGGCTGAACATCTTTCAACCTCCAAAAGATGACTCTTGATAAATAGCACCTTACAATAATCAAAATCTTTTTACCACACATTTTCAAAGAAGCCATGGTGAATAACACATTAGTCTGAGATTTACACTGTATTCACTGTTAGGCAGCATCTATTGTAATGTGTTCAGAATGTGATTGAAAAAGAAATGTAAACTCAGTGGAATGAAAAAGATAGACTTGGCTTTAATTGAAAAAGACAAACTAAGTGAATAATGAGTATATAAAACCTAGCCTATGCCACTTTTATCACCCATATATGACACTTAATCTTAAATTTATGAGAGAAACTGAACTGTGTTTCAAATCACCAGAGGCTTTTCCTACTCTGTTGTTTCTACCTTCTTTCTAGTAATACTTTAATGCCAATAACAGTAGAGATAAACCAACTTGCAAATTTTTCATATACAGCTCATTTTTAGTATGTTTAGATTCTTATTTGTAAAGGAAACAAACAACAATTTGGTTTAACTATAAAAACTGTGCATAGTATCAAGAGACTTATTTAGTCATCTGAAATGAAAATACTTTCAGTAGAAAGCCATGCCAAAGATCCCCCCCAAGTAGGACATTTTATGCTTAAGATAGATACGCAAATAGTTTTACTAATAGTACATCTTAATTCATCTATGTTATATGGCCCATATAAAAATCTCTATAAACTTCTGATTCCTTGGATTTACAAACACATATCCTATTTCTAGAAGAGAAAACCTTAGAGGTGTCACAGACTGATTTCATTTTGAGATTAAATATTCTCATATCAACTTTATGCTCATTAGTGATTGCTGCCAAAATGGGGCAGGCTTGTCCTTGCTCTGTAGGAAAATCCAGGTGCTAAAGAAGTAGGTGACTACTGGGGACTCAGTAGGTGGCACTCTTCCCTTTACATACTCAGCCAATGCCCTAGAAGAAAGTTATGGGACACTAGATACACCATAAATAATTCTCTTAGGAAAAATAAAACCAAAATGTTGACCAAATTATAAATGGAACTTTGGGAAGGTGGAAATCAAACTGTACTATACTCAGCATTGAAAAAATTCTGTCTCTATTTCAAATGAATTGCATTCTTTACCTAGTGCCCCTAAAGGGATTATCAATTATAATGTGTGAAAGTAAAAAAAAAAAAAAAAATTCTGAAAATTCCCAATAGTGAAAAATGCAGTATTTCTAATCAAGACAGCCATTTGAACAAAATCTCAAGGTCACTCTGCAGAAACCATATAGCCACTTTATTTATTATTTGTTTGGTTTGGTTTTGATTTTTCAGAGCACTGACAATCACTATTTTCTTCTTTGAACCTTGGTTTCATTTTCTAATTTAGTAAAAAGAAAATAACATCTATAGCTTTGTTGTCCCAAAACAAATAAAGATCTGATTTCAAGTCACTAACAAACCAGTATCTGAAGGGTACTTAAACAAATGAAGGGGGATAGAGGGCAGTGGTTGTAGTTCCTCTTATTTCTTGCCTGCCTGGGGAAAAAAAACTCACATAAATCAAGATTATTCTTGCGTTAGTCCCAGTCAAAATATTTGGATGTGAGAGAAGATTAAATGGATAAGATTTGGGATTATCTTTTGATTTCAATTATCCAGGCTAAACGTGGGTGGGGGGAATCAAAGGTTGCCTATAGTCCATATGGCAGTTCAAAATTTGCTTTTCACAACAAAATTCTGTAAACCCTTTTCTATTCATATAACTAAAAGAATAATTCAACACTTTCAACATTTTTTATAAAAAGTATAGGTCTTCAAGATTTAATATACTAATTCCACAGAAAATATAACAGCCAAATTATATAGCCACTTTTTCAAGGGTATCATTAAATGTGAGTTAAGAATGACGACCTCTTTTTTTTTTTTTTGCATTTCTATTGAATGTTTTTAAAAGGGGAAAGAAGGGTAGCCTAGAACTGCCATAATCAGAGGTAAAAGTACAGAAAAAGAAAAATAGTAAATATGATAAAATACATTTGAGCACCTATCCCTATCAAACAGTTGAAATATCAAATAACACAAGACATATAATGATTTGGATAATAGGCACAGGGAACACAAACAGAAATATCTAAGCAAAGTTATTTTGATAGCCATTATCTTTTGACTTTATATTCTTTTTTCTGAGAGCAAAGGATTTTAAACTTCCAAAAAGTTTACTTTCTTATCTTCTCTACCTTGGAATTCTAGCACAGTGCCAGACACTCTAAGGCACTCAGCTGTTAACTACAACTATCACCACCAATATCTCCTTAGTTTCAAAGGAAAAGTACTAGGTAAGCCAGTAATATCTCTAAAATTCAAAACAATACAAACACTTCTTCTATAGTTTTAGTAATTCTAAATCTAGTCGTGTACTATTACCCAATATACTTGAATTACAAAAATCATCATTTGCAATCCCAACAATATTTTTTGGATGAAATATGTGAAAAACTGCTGAAAGTATCTATTCTTGAAACCTTCCCTACCTCAAAAAAGATTAATTACAGTCAAATATAAAATAGTAACAACTTTTCTAATAAGTAAAAAATAACCTGGAAAACACTGGTTCACTTATTTCATTTCCTTAACCATATATATCCCCCAACTCACATCCATACTTCTTGAAAATATCCTCTGAAATTAAAATGCAATCCAAATTTATAATCCCCAAAGTTTTAAAGTTTTATTTTTTTCATACTTTGTGTTTTAATGTGAATTGCTTTAATAGTATGAAATATTAAAATGTCAATTAAATGACTTTTTTAAAAAAGCTAATTGCAGATATTAGGCCAGTATATTATCTGACTAAAGAGAGATAGCAGAAACATGTAGGAAGTTGGCACTGGCAGCTAATTTACGAAATTCAGAGGTTTTTAGGTTACACAATAAGGGCCACATGAAATACTTGTGTTCTATAGGTGTCAGAGAATAAACTATATATCATACTCTCTGTGAATGTATGATTATGGATCCAAATAACAAATTGTCTACTGTGGGAACTGCCAACCTTTGAAAACATGCACCCAGAGGTCTGTACTTTATTTCTTAAATTCAAAATACAGACCTAGAATATCCTTAAAATGGTGACATCTATTTTTGGAATGTTGATAAACACTTCTCTGATCCGGTTATTACAAAAATATTATAAACAAGCAATTCCAACACCGTAACAACAAAAATGTTAACTGGAGTGTAAAACAAAACCAGTACTCATATGAAACTCTCATATAATGGAATAAAAGCTGCCTTAAGTAAGTTTTTACACTCCTTTCACTATTTCCCTTAGTGACACCCACTAATGATGACAAGCAGTGAAATATTATTCCACCACAAATGCATTCATCGCACTGTTGATACCACGCTCATAAAATATAAATGTACATTCCTACACATAGTTTTATTTTCTCTACCTCATTCATGATGCCAACCACCAAAATAGTGTAACAGCATATTAGGAGATTTGGTCTCACACTGCTATAGCAGTAACTTACTGTTTCAAATGTCACAGTTTAGATGAAATTGCTTTTTAGGAGTTAAAGTAGGCAATTTGTAATAGAGGCATCTAAGAGAAACTCTTTAATGTAGTTATTTATGATCAATATTAAAAAATACAAATTTTAGAGACAACTAAGGTAAAACAAACAACAATCTTGTTTCCAGAATTCTGACATACACAAGACAAAGGAAATACTGGTAAAAATTCCAGAACATCAGGATAGGCAAGATTTGTGCTACTTTAAAAAAAAAAAACATTTTCTACCTTGTACAGAAATATAAATTTTTATTGGTCCTTCGTGAAAATACACAGATCCATATCCAGTACATTAATGAACTAGCAATGGATTCATAATAGCATTGAAGAATCACATTTTTTTAACTCCTAAAATAAGTTCCTATAAATGGTAATGTAAAACTGAGAAGAGGAAGATGAGAGTGCATAGACGAAGTACTTTGGTCCTGTGACACAGGAAGTGGGGCTTTAACACATCCTTCCTTTTTTGCTTTAATATACTACTAAGGCTGAAGACAAGTGGCCATTTGAGCATCAGGCCCTCTTCAAAAGTTTTAAATATGAGTGGACTGAATGTTCAAGAAAAATGGGAGTTTTAGAAATGACAAACCCTTCCACCCCATAACCCCTAACACCTGTGGTTCTGACATCTCTTTGCATCTCTACACCCTCCACCTCCACTGGCCAGGCCATCCAAGAACTATTTCTTTGACTTCCGTTCCCGTCCCAGTTCTCACACATGTATTCATTATCATTATCATTCTGTCTCCCTTTCCTACTCTCCCTCCACTGCATCCCTCCCTCACACACACACACACACAAAGCGTCTTCACGATGCACAGAATTGTCCTGATCCCATTTGTGTAGACCATCAAGAAGGGCTTCGCCACCAGCCCCGCACCACATTTCAATACACACGCCCACTCCCTTTTTCAGACGAAACACCCTTCTTCCCTCCTCCCTGTCCCGCCCCCACTTGCCAGAAGCCTTGGGGAGCGCGGGGAAGGAGGGTAAGGACTCTGAATGCTTGTCCCCACCGGCTCGCTGTTCCCTCGCCCCCGCCCCAACAGCGTTACCCGCCCCCTACCCGCTCATTACCTGCCAACAGGTTCCTAATTTCCTCAGGGAGGGGGTAGGGAGAGGAGGTGCTGCTGGGGTTGAGCATGTTAGGGAGCACAGGGAGTGCGGGGAAAGGACCTGTACTGAAAAGGTTACGGATGGGGTGCGGTTGCAGCTCCGAACTAGACTTGGGCCAGCAGTCCCGCTAAGAACAGCGGGTCTACGAGTCGGGACACTGCCAGGCCGGGGCTCACAACAAGGAAGTCACTGACTCTCCAGCCAGCCGCAGCTGGACTTTCGGCCCAGCCCCGCCCGCAAGATGGGGGCGGGGCGGTGGGCGGGGAGAAGGCATGAAGGGCCGGAGGCGTCCAATTGCGCATGTGTATTCTTAGGGTTTCCCGGCCTCCGCAGAAAGACGGCCCGGGGAAGCCACGCCTACTGCTACGCAGGAAAGCTCGAGCAGGAGCGGCTGGTGGGAAGGGAGCCAACTGGGGCTGTGTCACGTGACACGTATCTGACGCACCTTGTCGCCATATTGGTTACTGGTACCGCCACAATTGCAGACTATTTCTTTAGGATCCCAGAAAGTAATATACCAGTAGCGCCTAGAAGTTTTCCGATTAAGAGGCCTTCTGGCTAATGGTTAGTCCCACAGAGGTTTAACACTTCGCCTGGTAATCCACAGGGAATTTTCGATTGTCCTAACCTATTATGGCCTTCTTTGTCCGATTGAATGGAGGTAACAAAGTCGCATCTTCCGCCAGTCCTCCCTGAGAAGCCAGTCTGCAGCTGCTGGGGTAGCATTCTGATTGGCTCTTAGGTTTCTTTTCTACATAATTCACATTCTTGAGGTGATTTATTTTTTCCCCACTAGGAAGAGTAGGAAGTTCTAGGCACTATCCTTTGGATGAAAAAAATAATAAAAATAAGGCCAAATAGACATAGGTACCACTGTCCCATCTGCAAGCATCAAAAGGAAAATTGCTGGTGGTGATTAGTAAAATAAAATTATAAAATCTGTTCACTCCAACTTGACCAGTCAACAAATACTTATTGTCTGTTATCTGTAAATCTAAGGTTTTCTTTTAAAAAGACACCTCTGGCTCCTTTAAAGCCTTTAAACTGTGTGTGTGTCTGTGTAGAATATATATACAGGCATATCTCGTTTTGCTTTGCAGATTTGCATGCTTTTTATGAATGAAGGTTTGTAGCAACTGCATCAAGCAAATCTGGGCAGATTGTTTCAATTGCATGGGCTCACTTTGTGTCTCTGTCACATTTTGGTAATTCTTGTAATAGTTGAAACTTATTTTATGATATCTGTTATGGTGATCTGTTATCAGTGATGTTTGAAGTTACTATTGTAATTGTTTTGGGGCACCACAAACCACACCCATAGGACAGCACACTTAACCGGTAAACACTGTGTGTGTTCTGACTGCTCCACCAACCAACACTTCCCTGTCTCTGCAGCTCCTTAGACCTCCCTGTTCCCTGAAACATAACAATATTGAAATTAGGCCAATTAATAAACCTGCGGTGTGTTAAAGTGAAAAGAAGAGTAACATGTCTCTCACTTTAAATCAAAAGCTATGAATGATTAAGTTTAGTGAGGAAGACATGTTTAAAGCCGAGATGGGCCAAAAGCTAGGTCTCTTGTGCCAAACAGTTAGCCAAGTTGTGAATGCAAAGAAAAAGTTCTTGAAGGAAATTAGAAGTGCTACTCTAGTGAACACATGAATGATAAGAAAGCAAAACAGCCTGATTACATATAGGGAGAAAGTTTTAGTGATCTACATCAAACCAGTCACAACATTCCCTTAAACCAAAGCCTAATCCAGAGCAAAGCCCCAACTCTCTTCAATTCTATGAAGGCTGAGAAAGGAGAGGTAGCTGAAGAAGAAAAGCTGGAGGCTAGCAGAGGTTGGTTCATGAGGTTTAAGGAAAGACACCATTTCCATAATATAAAAGTGCAACATGAAGCAGCAAGTGGTGATGGAGAAACCACGCAAGTTCCAGAAGATCTAGCTAAAATCACTGATAAGGGTGGCTACACTAAACAATTGATTTTCAATGTAGATGAAACAACTTTATATTGCAAGAAGATGCCATCTAGGACTTTCATAGCTAGAGAGAAGAAGTCAATGCCTGGCTTCCAAGCTTCAAAGGACAGACTGACTCTATTGTTAGAGGCTAATGTAGCTGGTTACTTTAAGTTGAAGCCAGTGCTTATTTGCCATTCCAAAAATTCTAGGGCCCTTAAGAATTTGCTAAATCTACTCTGCCTGTGCTCTATAAATGGAACAAAAGAGCCTGGATGACAGCACATCTGTTTATAACATGGTTTACTGAATATTTTAAGCCAGCTGTTGAGGCCGACTGCTCAGAAAAAAAAGATTCCTTTCAAATTATTACTGCTCATTGACAATGCACCTGGCCACCCAAGAGCTCTGATGGAGATGTACAAGGAGATTAATGTTGTTTTCATGCCTGCTAACACAACATCCATTCTGCAGCCCATGGATCAAGGAGTAATGCTGACCTTCAAGTCTTATTATATTAGTTAAAAAATACATTTCATAAGGTATAGTTGCCATAGATAGGAATTCCACTGATGGATATGGGCAAAGTCAATTAAAAACCTTCTGGAAAGAATTCACCATTCTAGATGCCATTCAGAACATTCATGATTCATGGGAAGAGGTCAAAATATCAACATGAACAGGAATTTGGAAGAAGTTGATTCCAACCCTCATGGATGGTCAGAGGTTCAAGACTTCAGGAAGTCACCAGATGTGGTGGAAATAGCAGGAGAACTAGAATTAGAAGTGGCTATAGGGTAACTACCACAACTTTTTAAAAAAAGAAGAAGTGGAGCCTGAAGCTGTGATTGAACTGCTGCAATCTCATGATGAAACTTGAATGGATGAGGAGTGGCTTCTTATGGATGAGCAAAGAAAGTGGTTTCTTGAGATGAAATCTACTCCTGATAAAGATGCTGTGAACATTGTTGAAATGACAACAAAGATTTAGAGTATTACATACATAAACTTGGTTGATAAAGCAGCGGCAGAGTTTGAGAGGATTGACTCCAATTTTGAAAGAAGTTCTACTGTGGGCTAAATGCTGTCATGCATGCTACAGAGAAATCTTTCATGAAAACAAGAGTCAATGGCTCTGGCAAACTTCATTGTTGCCTTCTTTTAAGAAATTGTCACAGCCACCCAACCCTCAACCACCACCAGCCTGGTCAGTCAACAGCTGTCCACATCAAGGCAAGACCCTCCACTAGCAAAAAGATTACAGCTCACTGAAGGCTACAATAAGCGTGAGCAGTTTTTAGCAATAACTTTTTTTTTTTTGTGATGAGGTCTCACTATGTTGCCCAGTATGGCCTAGAATTCCCAGGCTCAAGGGATCCTCCTGTCTCAGCCCCAGAAGTAGCTGGGACTAGAGGCATGTGCCACTGCACCCAGCTGCAAAAAAGTATTTTTTTAGTCAAAGTATATAAGTTGTTTTTTAAAAAACATAATGCTATTCCATACTTAATAAACTATGGTATAGTGTAAACAATTTTTATATGCATTGTGAAACCAAAAAATTGGTGTGACTAGCTTTATTGCAATATTTGTTTTGTTGCGCTCATCTGAAACCTAACCCACAATATCTCCAAGGTATGCCTGTTTATGCATGTGTGTGTATATATATGTGTGTATGTATACACATATTTATAACATATATGTGCATACAAAGGCATATTACATTGAAGTGCTGCTTAGTTAAAAATCACTCAAAACTTAGTATGTAATCATATTTGTCATCAAGGAAAATGTAGACACCAGAGTCACCAAAAAATACAGAACAAAGGCTGATAGAGGAAATCTTCAGACAGGACCTGCCTTGGTAAAGCATTTAATGAATGTCCACTGGGTATGTTTCTTAGTAGAAACATGCTTGAAAACAGTAGTTGCTGGGATGCCCCCAGCCACACCCTCCATCTCCTTTGGCAACTTCATCATTTTTAAAACCACACACCAAGGTCAGCTCCTCTATTAAGCCATTACCTACGTTTACCTTGGTAGAGATAGTGGCTCTTTCCTGGATGTTACTGTTGTATTTTAAACATTGTATCCTGGCTCCAATGGCAATGTATATTGTTTATTCCTCTACCCTCCAACCTTCTCTAGATCAATGGTCCTTAAACTTTAGTTTGCATTAGGATCACAGAGAGAACCTATTGTAATACATTGTAAATTCTCAAGTCCCACCCCCAGAGATTCTGATTCAGTTTTTTAGGGTGTGGCCTGAGAATCTGTATGTCAGTCCCCACAGATGAATTCAAGACATCCTGAAATTTCATTTTGAGAATCCCTTTACTCTTCACAGCTCCTACAGGGCACAAAATTTGTCATAACTTATCTTTCATCCCCAGCTGGAACCTTAAACCTAATATAGAATAATGGCTCTATTAATATTTCATCCAAAAGGTTAGTAAAATATTACATAGCCAAATGCAATGACATTTTTGTGTAATTCTCTAAGAGATAACGCCAAACACTAATTGTAAGTGGAAAAATTAGAACATTTTGGAGTCTATGTCTTGCCTCTCAAAACAAAAAACAAGACAGAAACTTTATAACTGAAGTAAAACACGCAAAATAACAACAAAAATGACACTCCCAAAACAAACCCATTCCCCAAAATGGAATCCAAAGTTCCTACTAGATTTAGAAATGTGATGAATTATAGAAAGATTGCTGAAAATTAAAATTCTTTTGGTGGAGATAAAAGTGAACAAAGAGTCATTTTACAATATAGGTCTTACAACTTCAAAGAATTGAGAACTATTATCCTTAAACCACAAAATATCTTCCTTCCTAAAGAAGAAAGAAATTATTTCATGGACATTTTATATCAGTGAGGATTCTTTCTCCCTTTACAGTTATCACATATAATTCTTTGTCTTGTCACATTTTTTATTAAACGAGGCCTCCAAATGTCCCAATCCTTTGTTTCCTTCTGATAGAACTGACCAATTTTTTTTTTATTCCTGCGTCACATTTATCTATTTATACTCCACTCATTCCACAAAGGAATTGAGGTGATTTGCTCTTGTGTCAAATAGACAGCTTTCTGGAGTGGATCAAATGGACAGTGTCTACACTGCTCATTATGACAAGTCATTCTTGTTAGTGAGAGACAGGAAACTATTAAGATTGCCTTAAAATATATAGCATCTAGTAGTCCAAATAAAAAAGGCAATAACA